GGGTGTACTTTGCTTGTTCATTTTTAAATTCCCCATTGAATTATAATGCATAGCCAGTTAGCCAGTTTTAAGAACCACTATGCTAGATGACCTTTAAATGATATACAACATATTAAGGCTCTGAGCTAGACCTGATTTGATATGGAACACAAAAGTTAAAAATGAATCAACAGACATGTTATCTGTCAGGAAGCTAGAAGTGCTACTGAGGAGACATGTATAAAATAAAACTAGCAGCGATATAAGGCAAGTGTGGGCACATTGTATGACTAATAGGAGAATGGTACTTATACTAGTACCTGCCTCCTTACCTGTACATAGATCCCACTGTTGCTTTTGAGTCAGTTCCAACTCATAGCGATCCTATACAGAAGGGAACACTACCGGGTCCTGCAGCATTATCACAATCTTTGCTATGTTCGAGTCCAATGCTATAACTACTATGTCAATCCATCTCATTAAGGGGCTGCTTCTTTTTCTTTGACTCCCTAGTTAACCAAACATGATATCCCTGCCCAAGTGCTGTTCCCTCCCAAGAACATGTCCCAAAGCACATGAGATGAGCATTCTGGCTGTACTTCTTCCAAGACAGACTATTCTTCCAGCAGTCCATATTAAATTCAATATTTTTGCCAATATCAAATGCATCAATTCTTTTTTGGTCTTCCTCATTCATTGCCACAGGATGACTCCTTATTAACTGTCCATCTTTCACATGCTTATGAGGCAACCAAAAATATCATGGCTTGGGTCAGGCCTATTTTAGTCTTCAAAGTGACATTTTTGCTTTTAAACACTTTTACAACACATTTGCCGAATGCAATACATCTTTTGGTTTCTTAACTGCTGCTTCCACAAGTGCTAACTGTAGATCCAAGCAAACTGAAGTCTTTGACAACTTCAATCTTTCCTCTGTTTATCAAAATGTTACTGAACAGTTCACTTGTGGAGCTTTTTGTTTTATGTTGGGGTGTAATCCACATTGAAGACTGTAGTCTTTGATCTTCATCAATAAGTGTTTGAAGTCCTTTTTATTTTCAGCAAGTAAGGTTGTTGTGTCATCTGTATATTGCAGGTTGTTAATGAGTATTAAAAGAGCCCTAGAATGTAGTGGATCATGAGCTGGTCTGCTAATGTCTGGTCAGTATTTCAAAATTTACCAGCCATTCTGTGGGAGAAAGATGAGGCTTTCTGTTCCCATAAAGATTTACAGCCTTAGAAACCCTATATAAGGTCACTATGAATCAGAACTGACTTGGTGGCACATCACCACCCCTAAGTCTTAACTGTAATCCTGATGCCACATTCTTCTTTATATAGTCCAGTTTCTCAAATAATTTGCTAGCTGATTCACAAAGGTTGAATAAATATCATGATAAAAGGATACAACTATAATCATACTTTTCCTGATTTGAAACCACTAGATCCTATAATCACAAATAAGTATTTGATTTGATTTGCTTAAGAGGCAGGATCAAAAATATTTTAAGGTCTTTCAAACTGTAGTTTACAGAGATGAACAGAGTCTTATGTGGCAGGAAAAAGAAAAGCAGTTGAAATACAGTAAGAAAAGTAAAAACAAAAAATACCAGAAAAACAGGATATTGTATTGGGTAGACCATAGAGGGTAACTGCATCATTTTGTTTTAGTTCATTTTGCTTTTCTTACGAGACCTCCTGAGATCAGCTGAGACAATTGTCTACTATGGCTCCGTCAGTACTTTATTAGGAATCTTTGCAAATTGGGTGTCAATGGTAAAGAGTAGTGACAGCAAGTATTTAAGTATCTACTGGAAATCAGAGGTTTCAAGGAAGTAAGGTCAAAAAAAGGAGTCCTGGTGTGGTGCTGCAGGATAATGCACTGGCCTGCAAGGTCGGTTTGAACCACAAGGTCAGTGATTCAAGCTCACCAGCTATCAAGAAGGGTGGGAACAGATGCAATGGCACACAACAACATGCTATGAGGGCTCTTAAGGTCATTAACAGAAGTCCCTTATTCTGTAAAATCCCTTGACCTTTTCTTCTTACTCTTGACCTTGTTGGTTGAGACCTACAGAGACCTTGTATAGGGTTTCCCAGGAGCAGCTGGTGAGCTTGAACCACCAAACCGTGAGGCTACAACTGACTTAGCATAAACTAGTGGGTTACAAGTTGGGCTAAACACAAGGCTAGCTGTTCGAATCTACCAGCCACTCTACAGGAGAAAGATGAGGCTTTCTGCTGCCATAAAAATTTACAGCCTTAGAAACCTTATACAGGGTAGCTAGTAAACACTAAACACAAAAGACTGAAGACCAGAAGAGTTGTGAGATGACATCAAGAACATAGTACATGAGTAAAGCAAAAAGTCATTGAGAAGGCAAGAAAGAAGGATAAGGTCAAAATGGATGTCAAAAGAGACATTGCTAAAACAAATGGAAGAAATGAGGAGGTTCAAGAGCTGAACAGAAAATTTCAAAGATCAGCTCAAGGAGATAAAGACAAATATTACAATAAAATGTGCAAAGATCTTGAATCAGAAAACCAAAAAGGAAGAACACACTCAGCATTTCTCAAGCTGGGTGAACTGAAGAAAAAATTCAAGCCTCAACTTTCATTACTGAAAGATTCTCTGGACAAATTATTGAATGATGCAGAAAGCATCAAGAGAAGATGGAAGGAATACACAGAGTCACTGTATCAAAAGGAAATGGTTCATGTTCAACCGTTTCAAGAGGTAGCATATGATAAAGAGTCAATGAAACTTAGGGAGGAAGTCCAAAGTGCATTGAAGGAATTGGCAAAGAACAAGGCACCAGGAATTGATGGAATAAAAATTGAAATCTTTCAAGAAGGTGAGGTGGCACAGGAGGCACTCACTCATCTCTGCCAAGAAATTTGGAAGATAACTATATGGCTGAATGATAGGAAGAAATCCATATCTGTGCCCGTTCCAAAGAGAGGTGACCCAAAAGAATGCAGAAATCATCGGACAATCTCTTTGATACCTCATGTGAGCAAAGTTTTGCTAAAGGTAATACAGAAACGGCTACAATCATACATTGACAGAGAACTTCCAGAGGTTCAAGCTGGATTCAGAAGAGGCTGTGGAATGAGGGATACCATTGCTGATGTCTGATGGATCTTGGCTAAAAGCAGAGAATATCAGAAAGATGTACACCTGTGCTTTATTGACTACGCAAAGGCTTTCAATTGTGTGGACCATGACAAGCTACAGAAAACATTGCGAAGCATGAGTATTCCAGTACACTTAGCTGTGCTCATGAGGAATCTGTACCTGGACCAAGAGGCAGTTGTTTGAACAGAACATGGGAACACTGAATGGTTTAAAATTAAGAGAGATGTGCGACAAGGTTGTATTATTTCACCACACTTATTCAACCTGTATGCTGAGCAAATAATCTGAGAAGCTGGGTTATATCAAGTACAACGTGGCATCAGGATTGGAGGAAGACTCATTAACAAGCTGTGAAATGCAGAGGATACAACTTTGCTTGCTGAAAGTGAAGAGGACTTAAAACATTTACTGATGAAGATCCAAGAACACACCCTTCGGTATGAATTACATCTCAATGTAAAGAAAACAAAACTCCTCACCACTGGACCAATAAACAACGTTCTTATCAATGGAGAAAAGATTGAAGTTGTTAAGGACTTCATTGTTCTTGGATCAACTATCAACACTCACGGAAGCAGCAGTCAAGAGATCAAATGACACACTGCATTAAGCAAATCTGCTGCAAAAGACCTTTTTAAAGTGTTGAAGAGCAAAGACGTCAGCAGGTGCACCTGACCCAAGCCATGGTGTTTTCAGTAACCTCATATGGATGCGAAAGCTGGATAGTAAATAAGGAAGACCGTAGAAGAATTGATGCTTTTGAGTTATGGTGTTGGAGGAGAATATTGGAAGTGCCATGGGCTGCCAAAAGAACCAATAGATCTGTTTTGGAAGAAGTGCAGCCAGAGTGCTCCTTAGAGGCCAAGATGGCCAAACTTTGTGTCTCATACTTTGGACATATTGTCAGGAGGGAGCAGTCACTGGAGAAGGATATTGTGTTTGGTAAGGTGGAGGGTCAGACAAAAATAGGAAGAACCCCAACAAGATGGATTGGCCAAGTGGCAGCATTGATGGACTCAAGCGCGGCAACAACAGTGAGGTTGGCCCAGGATCAGGCAGTGTTTCGTTTTGCTGGGCATAAGGTCGCTATGGGTGGGTACTGACTTGATGGCACCTAACAACAACAATAACAATGAGTTGGAACCAACTCCATGGCACACAACCACCACCACCATTAGTGATCTTTGGTAGAGGTGTGCAAAACAACCTTGAGGATATAAATCAAACTTCAAAAGTTAAAAAAAGAGAAAGGAGATATCAAAAATATACTAAGAATAAACTACTTGTTTAAGACATTGACAATAAAGAAAAGAACAGAAACAGGTAGACATTGATGCTGTATTTTAAATGATAAAAACGGAGACGATCACCATCCTTATTAAACTTAAAGCTGATGTGATACACAAAGAATAAAAATGCTAAGTAATTTTATGTAATTATGATGAAGAAATTAAGTCTCATAACAAACAGGAGCCAATCTAAGCAGTTGCATTTCCAGTAACAAATATATTTGCCAACGATACTATGGAATACTTTTGATAATGAGGACACTTGTTAGAGGACATAATGTAACGTCACTATCCAATTAAATTTACCAAAAATCCCCCCAAAATTCAGTACCTTCATGGAGCAACAAAATGACTGTGAAGCACAGTATTCTGCTAGGTACTTTGATGGGAGACATGCAAACATAGGAGAGACATGCAAACATAGGGGAGACATGCAAACTAGAAAGATGCTATGAATGGAAATGAAAGCACAGGACCTATGGGCCAATCCTGCTCCAGAGAATTACTCCAAAATCTTCCTAACGAGGATGACATAATTTACATCGTAAACTCATGAGATAACTGGTGTTCATTTTTTATGAAAACATACTCACATGAGATTTCAGTTTTTCCCTTTCAGTGGTATCTTTTAGCTGTTGAATTCCAAATTTAATTTTTTGGATTTCGTCATTAATTGTGATCACTCGCTCATAGACAGCACCTCTTTTCACTTGAACTTTATTGCAATCCCTAAAGTAAAACAAGAACGTGAAAGTAGAATTTGAAAGCATCTAAATAGGTAAGTATTTGGCTCTAATTTGGATTACAAAGTCATCATATATATTTGCTTAACAAGTTTGACTTTTCTCAAGCTATAAAAGCAAATAAATGAAATCACCAAAATGTAGTGCTCTAATCATGTCACGATGATGACATGATTAGACATGATTGGATCATATCATCATCAATCATGTCATAAGGAGCTCTGGTAGCATAGTGGTTACGAATCGGGCTGTGAACCACAAGGTCAGCAGTTTGAAACGACCAGCTGTTCTGCGGGAGAAAGATGGGGCTTTCTGCTCCCATAAAGATTTACAGCCTCGGAATCCCTGTACGGGGTCGCTATGAGTCGGAGATGACTCCATGGCACACAGCAGCAGCAGCAGCAGCAGCAATTATGTCATGGCATATAGTCAATTATTTTACCAAAAGCTATTTGGAATTCAAAATGGAAATTCTAAGTTACTACATATCCCCAGTTGTGGACACTAGCTTGCAGTTGGTGGGAGTATGAATCAGTTCCACTTTCCTAGAAGAAAGCTTGACAACAACTAAATCTTTAGATTCTGCCCTTTTCTTCATATGCATGAGAAAGAGTGAAGGAAATACTCAGAAAATCCTTATGCACCTTTAAAGAGCTAGAGCCACATCTCATAAGCATACCCGAGGCACTGATTCTTTAAAAAACCTTACAACTGAAGGGAAGACTCTGCCAGTGAAAACACCACAAAATACTGGCTAAAAAATCAAAACTAAAAAATATAGTGAAGGAGAGAACAAACAAGATGGCGGATCGTGTGGAAGTGCAGTAAAGAGCTCCGCCACCAACAACACAGAATACCCGACCAAGCAGGCTCAGAGGCTGGTCCCAGAACTCTGAACCACATATAAAGGAATATTTAGAAGGTTGGAAGGCTTACAG